GATTTCAAACTCGATTTCTTTCTTCCTGGGCTTCGAAAAGCTGTTCCTGAGCTGCTGAGTTCCGTGTTCCATTCCAGCCTCTATTTGAGTTGTTTTTTTTTTTTGCAATTTCCCTGATATAGATTGAGAAAATCAAAGAAGGATTCACGAAATTGGTCATACAAAGCTTATGGTATTAACTGTTCGAACTCACTACTGATGTATTTGGTTCAAATCGTCTATTGTATGCTCATATCTCAAATTGTTTGCTGCATGTTCAAATTAAAATGAAGTTTCCTAGTTTGAGTTTAATTTTTGGATCTATGTATGAGGATGAGATCAAGATTCAGTAGCTAATGTTAGACCATTTGGTAACACACTCATTCCAAGACACTTTAGCTACATAATCAGAATTTCTACCAAATAGGCCAATTTTATGTTTTCTCGAACAGTCACACTTAATTAATTTTAAAATGCTTAGAACTCGGGACGCGCCATTTAGCAAATTTCCATGGCCTCCCGCAAAGATAATAATGCGTTAGTCGCTTTAGGCGCGTTCTTTAATAACTTTACCTTCCCAAATCCGGGTGTGCATTTCATGTGACCCAAATCCAAATCCCAAAATGTTGAATAAAATGTGTCGCGGATCCGGGTGCATTTCATGTGACGTGATCCAAAAATATGTTTTTAACAACGTTCAATTTCCTTAAAATTAATTAAAAGCGGTAAATAATTTGAAATTGCACTATAGGATAAAACATGTATTAAAATCAGATTTTAGGCCAATTATGATAGTTTAAGCGACCGTGCTAGAACCACGGGATCCGGGGGTGCCTAACACCTTCCCTCAGGTCAACAGAATTCCTTATTCAGAATTTCTGGTTTGCAGACTCCATTCGGGAAGTCGAAATTTCCTCGATTTGGGATTCAAGATAAACCGGTGACTTTGGACACCAAAAGCCAAACCTATCCCAAGTGGCGACTCAGAATAAATAAATAATCCTATTTCGAATAATGTCACTTAAAATGAAAAAACTCCCTTATACATTATCCTTCAAGGAGGTGTGTAAAAAAGGAGGTGTGACAATGGAATTTAGAAAAAATCATATATTTGAGTTCGTGAGGCCATGGGTAATCTTTATCTTCGAAAAATTTTGGATTCCAGGCACGTGGGTCCGAGGGCATTTTTGTCAACTTTTCGATCGGGGTTAGAAATTGTTATAAATTGGATTATAATGAGTACCTTAGCATATATTAATGGATTTACATAATTATTGGCTAGTTTTGGAGCGTTGTGCATCGATTCAAGTCATCGGAAGGGCGAGGAATGCCGGTTATGGACCTTCGGAGCGAGGTGAGTCTCCTTTCTAACCTTGTAAGAGGGAATTGTCCCCATAGGCGAATTAATTGGTTATGTGCTCCTATTTGTGGGGGCTACGCACGCACGAGGTGACGAGAGTCCGTGCGTAGCTACTATTATGCTATTGTCCGGGTAGTATAGGACCCAAAAACATGCTATACTTGTATTAACTGTCACTTATTGACAGCTCGAATTGCTTAAACCACATCGAATTAATAAATAAATTTCAAAAAGGATTAAACTTCTTTTCTTAAATTGTTAAAAGAGAAAGTGGCTTTTATTTGAATAAATATTCCCCGATAAATTCCTAATTGGCTATCTGAGCATGTATTTCTATGTGTACCTGCGTCGCATGCATGATTCGCGAGCAGGGTGATTGTTTAATTTATGTTGACCGCGTCGCATGGATAGTTCGCGAGCGGGGGAATAGATGCATCTATGGTTCACGCCGTCCTCGGCAGTGCACAGTTTACATTTCTGTTGGAGCGGGCCGTCGACCACGGCATGATTTGCGCATGCTTGTATTGCTTGCCTTGAAACTTATTGAAGTTGTTGCTGCCTCTTTCTGGCTTAAGAATATACGCATAAATGATGAAAAGGAATGATTTCCTATAAAAGAAAGAATTGTTTATTTGCTTCAACCAATTGAATTATAATCATTTTTAAAGAAAAATTCACGAATTAATATACTATGGATACCATCATTGGACCATTAGTAAGTGTCGAAGTCGACCATCTCGTCTCTACTTCTTCGAGTTTAGACGGGATACTCATTGGGTACACGTTGTTTTCGTACTCATACTACACTTCTGTGCATTTTTGTTGCACAGGCATATGTATCTCTAGTGGCCTACTGGGGTAGCAGCACGGATGATACGGAGACTTAGGTGAGCTGCACTTCTCGAGGCGATTCGCAGCCAGCAGAGTCTCTTTGAGTTTTCTGTATTTATTTCTGTCCAATATTGTATTCCGGACGATTGTTGTATTACATTATTCCTTAGAAATTGCTCATGCACTTGTGACACCGGGTTCTGGGAGAATTTTTGGATTATTAAATGTTAAGTTTTGTTAAAGACTTCGCGGTTGTTTCTGTAAATTTTATTATTCGTTATTTAATGTATAAAGAAAAAAAAATGATTCTAGACAATACAAAACTTGGAATTTAATTAAGTATTTTGGTTGGCTTGCCTGACAGCAGTGTCCGGCGCCACCACGACCCTCAGTGGATTTTGGGTCGTGACAGCTATCTAACCGCCTAGTACAAATCCGTTCCGAAATTTACACCGAGAACTTAGGGCCACCGCAGGAATCTCGCTCTTTCTGTTATAAAACCATAACGGTATTATTTCGAGGTTGGTCGTACTCGGCCCCGGTGTTCATCGAGCATTCTGATCTTCGCGTATAGTATTTTGCCATCGGGCTCGAGCCCGGCTCATATCGAATATGATTCTTGATGCGACCCCTCGAGCCTACAAAATTGGGGGCACGTGATTTTACCGTATACAATATACGACTTGTATTTTTTACGACGATTGAGATAATCAGGACCAAAAGAAAGGTGAACAAAAAGACAATGGAAGTGGAACAAGAGGAGGAAGAGAAAGAACTAATGCACATCAAAGAAAAGAAAGAAAAAAAAAGAGAGAGAGAAAGAAAGAAAGAAAGAAAGATAAGAACAGGCCACTGGGTGAGAAGACAAGGAATTAAGACTACAGCTTATACGCATCAAAATATGAATAAGTAAATATTCATCATTTAACTTATATGTGCTTTTGGCAAAAGAAAATATTTGCGTATATCCAAGTCACAAGAGTAAAGTGACGACCTCAAAAATAATAAGAATAATCTATATATACACTATATTAAAAGCACGAAGGCCCTTAGCGAAATGTCGGTCGTCTTTTCTACCCTTTAAAAATAGAGTTCACTTTGGGCAAAATAATCTTTCTAATTAATTTTCAAATATTTAGGAATAGTCATTTAATTAATTTCCTTATATCTAGGAATAGTAACTTAATTATTTTCCTAATATATAGGAATATTCATTTAATTTTACTAGAAATCTTTTCTTATTTAAATACATAAGAACTCTGAATATTTAAGACTTTAAAAGTAATAAAAGTTTTACGTACCTTATTTAAATTATTTTCTCATTTAAATTAACCCACTTTTCATATTGAGATAGTATGAATTATACTATTTGATGGGCGTGGAACTCACTTGATGGACAAAGAGTAGGTTTAATATTTAAAATTTTAAATCAAAAGATACAAACGCCATTAGTTATGTATTTTATTTTGAATTTAGTTTTGAAAGAATTAATTTTGAAATTTTAGAAAAGAATTCCTTGGTTTTAAATTATTGTTGTCTTTTATACTTCGTGTGTATTCTAAATCATGATTACCTTTAATTATTAATATAACTATGAAACTCGTGACAAATATCAATAATAATAGTAAGATTCTCATGACAAAACCATCCAAATAATAAAAGAAATCATATTTCAGCGATATTAGTCGTGAATTAAGAGAGATAATATCCAATTAGTTGAATTCAAGTATCACCACTAAATATTATGAATGAAAGTTGAAGTCAAGTACCATCACTAAATATTATCAATGAATAGTTTTTAATTAATTAACTATTATTCACTTTTATAATTAAAAATATTAAAATTGCATATGCAGATAAAAATAAATATTGCAAACACTATTATAATGATTTATTTAAACGCACATTACATGAAATGTTAATAGATATTTATACCTTTTGAGAATTATATTACATATGATACCTTCATGTTGGTTAAGATAATAATAATATTAATTTTTTACCTTAATTTTTATGGTAATTATTTTTGTTTTTCTAAAACACGTATAGTTTGGTTTAAATTGTTCGTATGATAGTTAAATCTAATAATAAGATGGAACTTATATTATGTACTTGAGCAAATAGAATTTATGTTTTTAAGGCCATGAAGAATATAATATTATTACAGGATATATTTGAATGCGAGTTAACATATTATTCTGTCATGTCGAGCAACTACAGCAAACGCACAATTCATATACCAAAATCATGATAAGACATTAGAATAACTTTATGTGATTTAAGTAATTTTTTCTTTATTAAGTTGGCTATATATTATCAATAGCTCTTGTTTTTTTTTTGAAATTTATTTTATAACTCAATTACATAGGTTAATAATATTTGCGTAATTTTTAAAAAACTTATACTCACTGATATGAAGTACACGCGCAACGCACGTACACTAAAACTAGTAATAAAATAAAAGCAACAACTGTTATTTAGCTATGTTATATTACTGATATAGAATTTATTAAAAGGTAATTTGAAAAAATTAGAGAAATTAGAATATTATAAAAGGTGTGACTTGAGTAGCTTGGCATTTAAAAGTGCACAAAATATGAAAGAAAAAAGAATCGGGTTCAAGAGCAACAATGTTTTGGTATTCCTTGAATCTTTCTTTTATATAGAATGCGAATAAGCTTCATTAGTAATATATAAATAACTAAAAATTATATAGAAGTATAGAACTAAATTTATGAGTAACCTAAAATATTTACTAATTTTCTCCTAAATCCGTTATAAGCATGTATAAATTTAAATATAGTTTGTTTCTAAATTCAAGCACTTTACAACGTGTGGCACGACTCTGGGAAAGTCATTTCAGGCATGATTTGAAGATAGTAGTATATTTTTTTGTTTCTAAAACCCTAACACCAAAAACAATCTCCATCCCTCACAACTCCTCCGCATGGCATCTTTAGCTCTACCTGGAAGCTTTTTAGCTACCAGCAAACCTCGTGCTTGTAGATATGCTGCCGGAGACTCAATTATAGTAAGCAATTTTCTCTTCCCCTTTACTATTATATTAATTATGTGGCGAGAACAATTGTGACTGCGCTGCTATCTTTGTAGAGATGTAATGTGGCAGAACCATTAAGGTTTAACAAGGAGAATGGGGAATCAAGCATGCCTCTTCAGATTAATGGCGACACTTCATTTAACAATCTTTGGAACGCTAATCAAGTAAGAAGATTTCCAGTTCCACGTGCTCAAAATGATACTAGACTCCGGATTTTCTCTGGCACTGCCAATCCTGCACTTTCTCAGGTATTAATTGTAGTTGGTATTTTTACTTCTTGTAAGAAATTGACGTTATAATTGATGCCTTCTTATAGTTTAAGGGGACTGAGTTGGCTGCATAGCGCTGCAGCTAAAGTAAAGGAAACGCACATTTGAATTTAGGGATTGCTTGAAAGAAAAAGCTGTACACTTAATTGCAACTTGAGCATTAGAAATTTTAGGCGTTAATTGAAAGTTAAGCTTCCAATTCTTTATTCTGTCTAGCTCTCCTTGGTAATTGCAATAAACTTCAATTAATGCCTAAAATAGATGATTAATGCCTAAAGAAACAGAGTATTTGAGTTTAGGGATTGTTTGAAAGAACAAGCTCTGTAGGCTCAATTGCAACTTGAGTATAAGATACTTTAGGTGTTACTTGACTCAATTCTTTTTCTTGTCTAGCTCTCCATGGTAATCATTATAGACTTCATTTATGAGCTGATATCAGATGAAGATGATTAAAGGAATATTTGAATATACACAACCTTATAGCCCGTTTGGCCAAGCTGCAAAAATCAGCTTATTTTGAGAAGTGCTTTTTTTCAAAAGTGCTTTTCTCAAAAGTACTTTTGGTGAGAAGCAGTTTGTGTTTGGCTAATTAGTTTGAAAAGCACTTCTGAGCAGCAATTAGTGTTTGGCCAAGCTTTAAAAAACTGCTTCTAAGTGTATTTTTCTCAAAAGTGCTTCTCAAAAAAGTGCTTTTGGAGAGAAGCTACTTTTTTCTACTTCTCCAAAACTGCTTCTGCTTCTCCTCGAAAGCACTTTTTTTCCTTCCAAAAGTTTGGCCAAACACCTCAACTTTTGGCCAAAAGTGCTTTTGGCAAAAAAAAAAAAACACTTTTGGCCAAAAAGAAGCTTGTCCAAACAGGCTATTAATCTCCATTCTAGAGTTACGGAAATTGAGACTACAGAGTCATCCAAGGAATTTTTCAAAGCTCTAAAGATTCTATACAACAACAACAACAACATCAATAAGCCCACTAGTTTCCCATAAGTGGGGTCCGGGGAGGGTAAGATGTTCGCAGCCTTACCCCTACCCCTGGAAGGGCAGAGAGGCTGTTTCCGATAGACCCTCGGCTAGAGAACGACTGAAAAAGAAAAGGTAATTGCAACAAGTAGGAGTAACAGCAAGATGAAATAAGATCGAATCCAAGAATGCAGTCAAACTCTAGGTCATAATCGCCATCTATGAATAAAAGATATCATACTAACACTAATGCTAGCGAACTGAGTAAGACAAAGAGAAACGCTCGACTACCTACGAACCTTCTACCCTAATCTTTGACCTCCACACCCTCCTGTCTAGGGTCATGTCCTCAGTCAGCTCCAATTGCGCCATGTCCCGCCTAATAACCTCTCTCCAAGACTTCTTAGGCGTACCTCTACCCCTCCTGCTACCCACCGAGGCTAACCGCTCGCTCCTTTTAACTGGGGCTTCTATACTCCTCTTAACATGCCCGAATCATCTCAACCTTGCTTCCCGCATCTTATCCTTCACAGGGACCACTCCCACGTTTTCCCGAATAACTTCATTCATAATCTTATCCAATTGGGTATGCCCACATATCCACCTCAACATCCTCATCTCAGCTACTTTTAGCTTCTGGGTATGAGAGTTCTTGACCGGTCAACACTCTGCTCCACACAACATAGTCGGTCTAACTACAACCTTGTAGAACTTACTTTTAAGTCTCATCGGCACATTCTTACCACACAAGACACCGGAGCGAGCCTTTACTTCATCCATCCTGCTCCGATACGATGCGTGACATCTTCATCAATATATTCCAGTATTTTACATTGGTCAAATAAGTGAAAGAGTAGTGTTAAAAAGCTACAACATTTTATTTGTTCGATTCAACAATGGAGGGATAGCATAGTGGTAAATACTTTTTAACATCCAATTATAAGTTTGGGGGTTCTAGTGTCACAGCCTAGTCGATGGCACGTATTGTCTATTTTGACCAACAGACCTCACGGATTTGTCCCTTGAGCTGTGCAATCATCGCATCCAAAGTGCTCGTACCATGTGAACTTTGTGCTATGCCTTATAAAAAATTTTTATCTCCTATTCTGTGTGGGATTTGACTTAAGTGTCATATGCACTCCTTCAGAAGCTTGCTAGCCTAGAAGCCTGCTAGTTCTTCTCTTTGATAGTTTGACTCCATCATAGGCGTCACATAAGATCAGCTAGGAGCAAGTGGGAAAAGGTCAAGCTTGGGTTCCAGGGTAAGTGGGTTTGGGGGGTTGAGTTTACCACATCAAAGTAACAATAATAAAAATAAAAATTTTCTTGCTCCATCATCTCTACCAATGCGTTCTTTTTATTCCAGTAGAAGTTGTTTAATAGTTTTTGGGTAATACCATTGTGTTCTTTTGATGTGTCATTACTGATGGATATGCTGCCTGTTTCGTAGGAAATTGCTTGCTACATGGGTTTGGAACTTGGAAAGATAATGATAAAACGTTTTGCTGATGGCGAAATCTATGTCCAGTTACAAGAGAGTGTTAGGGGTTGTGATGTATATCTTGTCCAACCTACGTGTCCTCCTGCTAATGAAAATCTGATGGAACTCTTGATAATGATTGATGCTTGCCGTAGAGCCTCTGCCAAAAATATTACTGCAGTGATTCCGTACTTTGGGTATGCCCGCGCTGATCGTAAGGTAATTCTATGTTGCTTGTCCTATTAAATGGTAAATAAATGATTGAGTATGTCATAGATTCTTGTTATATCATGTTGAAAATTAGTTGTTTAAAACCAAGATGGTACGGCTATGATAATATATGTTTGATCGGATGTGTGTGTCAATAGGCAATGCATATTCTTCTCAGCTTGGCCTTGGCTTAATAAGTTGAGCTACAGAGTTGATTCAAGTCCGATGAATTTTATGTAACCGTGAAATGATTGAATATATTACGAATGCTTTATCTTTGAAGCCATTTCTGTTTTTGATGAAGATGAATAAGAATTTGGTATGTGAAGATGAAATAGCTTTTGGAAATCAAATGCATGTCCTTGAAATCAAGTGGAAAGACTACGTATTTTACTTCAGAGGTTAAACAACATAACCTTGGATCACAAAAAAACAGACTCCATAGGTTGGAAAAGCCATCAGCAGGGTCTCTTTCCAGTCAAAAGTTGTTACCACATGCTGGATTCTAGCAGCGACGGGGTATTATGGCCTTGGGAAAAGGTTTGGAGAAGCAAGGCTCCTTTGAAGGTTTCTTGTTTCTCTTGGATTGTTGCTCGGGAGGCTTGTCTCACACAATCGAACCTCCAAAAGAGGGGGTTTCAACTGTGTAGTAGATGTCCATTGTGTGAAGAGCATTGGAAGAAGTTGGCCACCTCTTCTTGCATTGTAGAGTCACTAGGCAGCTGTGGAATATGTTTCTGGTAATTCTGGGCATGAGTTGGACCATGCCAAAATCAATTGTTGAGCTCTTGCAAGGTTGGAGCAGTGAGGGGATTAGTAAGAAATCTTCAAGAACTTGGAATACCATACCTCAGGCAATTTGGTGGACTGTCTGGCTTGAAAGAAACAAAAGAATTTTTGAAGGCACAACGAAAAACATTCACAGCCTTACACAGAGATGTATTTTTCTGTTAGCTTTTTGGTGCAATCTGGTAATTGAACATGATGTAGATGGAATGCTAGATACAATATAGGGTTTGCACAACCTGTAATTATGACTGATGCACTGGCTTAGTGCATAAATTTATAATAATCTTTAATTACTTATAAAAGAAATTTAAAATATATGCATGTCCTCATTTTTTCAATCATTGTTCTGGATTGATTAGGCGAGGAGTACTTGAGGTTTTGTGTGGTCAGTACTAACAGAGATAAACCTTAGTTCTTAGCTAGTCTAGTTCACTCAAATGCCCAATCCTTTTGCAGACTCAAGGTCGTGAATCAATTGCTGCCAAACTTGTAGCAAATCTGATTACAGAAGCTGGTGCAGATCGAGTTCTTGCTTGTGATCTTCATTCTGGCCAGTCAATGGGTTACTTTGATATTCCAGTGGATCATGTACATGGCCAGGTAATTTCTGAATAGCCACTATATTAACTTTAGCATCTTTAGCGTCAGTATTAGGCATGATTTTGTAGAATGAGAAAGGCTTTCCTTCCGTTAGAAAATTGGAAAAATTGTATTCATTCATGTGCTTATCTGCCTCCCTTTTTTTTGTGTCTGCATGTATAGCCTGTCATACTTGATTACCTTGCCAGCAAGACTATCTGCTCTGATGACCTAGTTGTGGTATCTCCGGATGTTGGTGGGGTTGCAAGGGCTAGAGCTTTTGCCAAAAAGTTATCTGATGCACCTCTAGCTATCGTGGATAAAAGGCGTCATGGGCACAATGTTGCTGAGGTATTCTGGTTGCTATTATTTTATTTGAGGTTTCTTCTTGTCCTCTTCTTTTATCCTTTTCTTTTTGGTCTGGAGGGAGCACGTGGGGTTGGTTTGAGTTGGTTCATTTTGATGCTTTAAACAGCTTTTTGGTGAAGAACAAACTTTTTATATTTCTTCAACTATTGTGTATTAGCTTTACAGTGAAATTGTTATTACATGCAATTCAAAATCTAGTGCCAGGGTGCATGCTAAATCTGTTTGTAATTTGGGCAATATGCTAATTTCTTTGTACTGCTTACGATGATACTTTTGTGGGCGTGCATATGTTTACTTATAAATTTTGTGAATTCTCTTAATTGCATGATTGGTTATATACTGTTGAAATAAGATTCGCTTTCTTTCCTTAAAAGAAATTTTCAGTGTTGATTCCTCTAACTCTGACTGCTTTGGTTCTGCAACTTAAGCATCACTTTTCAACTTACTTGTACAACATGACTCCTCTTCAAGCATTAAAGGTTCATCTTCCCAATTTTTTGGAATTGAGTTCCTGGGCTATGGTTCAACCATAGAAGCCACCTACTATGTCTTTTACTATTTTGTCAGCTCACCTCCTTCAACATTATACTTCTTAATAAAAAGCGCCCGCTTCATTGATTGAAGCGAGTCGAGGCGAGGCGACCTCTGTTGAGCTTTCAAGAGCTGATGCGAGACGGCTTAAATGAAGAGCTCGCTTCAGCTGAAGAGGCGAGAAGCGGGGAGAAGCAAGAAAGCAAGGAAGGGATCACTCTTTTTCAGAAAAGGCCACTTATTTAGAAGAAAAAGGGAAGGATGAGGGACCTTTCTGGAAAAAAGGTCCTCTGCAATTTCATCCCTGCTTCTTCTCTGCGTCTAGGGTTCCTGACTTTGTTCTCTGCTACTTCATTGCTGCTGCTGCTTCTTCTTCTTTTTAGTTTTTTTTCATTTTTTTTCACTCTGTTTATTAATTTTATTTGGTAATCTTCTTTTCCTTTTTTCACAGAATTCAATTGGACATGTTCTTCTTTGCCCTCAGTTTCAATTGATTAATTGCTGCAACTGCTTTTTTTTTTCTCCTCTGTTTTGCACTTTATATAATAGAATAGAAGCCCAAATTAGTTTCAATTTATTCTGCCAATCGTTGGTTTATTTATAAAAATCAGTTATAAATTGATTAATGACTTCTTGTTTACTTTCTAATAAAAGCAATTTAAGTGGCATCGCCAAATAAATATGACCAAAAGAGAGACTTGTCTTATGGATGATTATTAGCTTTTTACTTGCTAATAGATATTATTTTGTTGAGTTGAATAGGAATGAAATAAAATAGAAATAGAAAGAAAAGAATCTAATTGCAAAAGCAAAAAGGGGATGTCTTTTTCTCTTTCCTTTTTTCTTTTTTTCTTTTCATTCTTTCTTTCCTATAATTCAGTTTTGATTTCTATATCGAGAAATAATTCTTCTGTCATGATTCACGAACTAATGGACTCTCTAATTTTTTTCGTAATTGAAAATTCGAGGTTGAAATGTATATGTGATATTGTTATAAAGCGCATTTTATTTAATGATAAGTTATTAATCAACAAACAGAAATGAAAATTCATAAAAGATGAGATGAACTCAGAAGCCCTTATTTATTAGTTTTAAATATAGCAAACAGAATTCCGTTGGTATAATTTGGTCTTGTTTATTTAGTTACTTTATTTATTTGTGCAATGATCACTTACGATCTTTAAAAATTTCGCTTCTCTTCACACTTTAAGCGAAGCAGGGCCCTATCGCGTATTTGCGCTTCGCGCTCTCAAAATCACTGCCGTGAACGTACCTTTACATGTTTTGAAAATGTTAGACCAAGTACAAGAATCCTCTTGCAGATGACATCATCAGTACTTGTGTCAGTCCCTCCATATATCATAACTCTTTATGTACCTGTTTATGTTTTTTTTGGGTGAGCACTAACTTGCTGCTTTTCTGCCCATAGGTAATGAATTTGATTGGCGATGTTAGGGGAAAAGTGGCAGTTATGGTTGATGACATGATTGATACGGCTGGTTAGTACTTTTTGTTTTCGCTTAGTGGTCTTATTTGCTGCAGTTCTTTTTTGTTTTGTTTTTTTTGTTTTGCGAGAAAAGCAATCTGCACCTCCTTTTCTACACTACGGAGGTTTTCAATTTTGTTTTAAGTTAAGTGGTAAAAAATATGAAAGCAAGAAACTACAAAATTATTTTCGTCCCTTTTGTTCTATGTGAAGTGCTATATCACAAAATAATTGGTTTTTTTTGTTATTGTATGTATTACTACTCGTTATTAATTGCTTAGGCGTTGTTTTGACCCGGGGACTGGGAGACATATTTCATGCTCGTGTTCTGTTCCTTTTTCTCTTTTTTGTCCATTTCTTTTTTTGGCATGATTGGTGAGTTGGTTAGTTTATTATTGGTCAAAACTGATTATTCCTTGTTAATCTATATATATATATATATATATATATATATAAATATATGTATATATAGTTAGATATTGACACGGTGTAATTGTTTTCAGGTACTATTGCAAAAGGAGCTGCCCTTTTACATCAAGAAGGAGCCAGGGAAGTTTATGCATGCACCACTCATGCGGTTTTCAGGTACTTATGGTTCATCAATTTTGGGCTTGCATATCTTAATGAAAAGACTTTCCCTTCCATATCGTCATTATTAGCCTGAAATTGCTTAATCACATCTGTTTCAGTAAGTGGTGATGAACGCATGTACACTATAAATCCCGATACAATAAGTTATTGGTCTATTCTCAGAACTGCATCAATTTGCTAATGGAAATCCTTTGGCACAAAAATAAATAGGGAAGGGGGAAAAAGAATGCCCATCCCAATCCTTCGATTGTAATTAAATCACTAGGGCACTAGAGCAATGTTTGCATTGTATCCTTCAAGATAAGACTTTGGATGTCGAGATGCTAGGCTGCCCAACTTGTGGGTGAACTTTGCATGATACCTTTTTTGATAAGGGTGGTGTGCGTCCCTTGATTATTCCATCGGATACCTGCTACCTCCCACCAGTACAGGTACCTGGTAACTCTGTCCGCCAAGGCTTAGGCGAATGGGAAGATACACCTACTGTTTTTGTTGCCTTTGCTGGGATCTGAAGCCTGGATCTTAATCTATGTTTTGCAGCCCTCCTGCGATAGAGAGGTTGTCGAGTGGACTGTTTCAGGAGGTAATTATCACAAATACCATTCCGGTGGCAGAACAAAACTATTTTCCCCAGCTGACCATCTTGTCTGTTGCAAACCTCTTGGGCGAAACGATTTGGCGTGTCCATGATGACTGTGCAGTAAGTTTGAGCTTCTCTTTTAAGATGAACTAGTTAAACAATGGTTTGATAACCCTTATCTGTCCTGTTCCATTAGTTATCCTTTTCCTTCCTATTTTGAATTGCGGGATAATATGGCGTTATGTCATCGGATTTGTTTAAAATAGTACAAGGTAGAGCAAGCGAAGTTTCATTCCTTTTTCCTTTCTACTAACTAGAAGAGCAAAGCTATCATGGCATTGTTAAATGACATGGAGAAAAAATCACACCTTTTTTTTCATTATTAAAGTTCTATAAGTCTTGCAACACCTTGATTTAAGCTGCACTCTTTTATGATTCTTATGTGATTTTTTAATTGCTTCTGGAAATAACTTAGGAACTCCACAGATTTACGAGATTTAGGCAGTGGTTTAACGAGTGAGGAAACTTAAATAACACTAATAGTAATCAGCTCCTTAAAGTTTAAAGCTTTATACATACAATTCTACTTCTTTTACATGCGAATACTAACACCAGTTAGATTTGGGGTCTCCCTTTTTAAATTATACAGTTTTAACATCTATCAAATATTTCTATTAGCTAGGAAGGTAATTCAGTTTCACGATTTAATGGTAATAGTGTCTATAGCAATCCTTGAGGAGAATGTTGAGTATGTGTCTTAGCTAACCTTGCCACTCTTCTGTCTGTCTATACTTGTCAGGGCGGCTTTGAGCCTTACTCCGGCTTGGGAATTGATTAGTCCTTCCTGTTCATTGCTTGTTTTGACACTGTTATCTGGATCTTGAAGCAGAATTTTATTGTTGTCTGGAACTTGAAGCAGTATTTTTACTGTTGTCTGGAACTTGAAGCAGTATGTAAATCCACCAAAATTTTCGTCCAGTAACAAAGAGCATTTTCTGTTGTACAAATATTTTGTGCGGAATGTTACGTTGTAAATCTTTCAATCAGTGACTTGGATCCATGTAGTAGATGAGTTTTTTGATTAATATGAAGCTTACTTGAATTGCTATTATGGAGTGGAGCGTCATGAATAGCATCTTGCCAGAAGTACTGAGCAATAATAGCATCATTAGTCCCATCTTGTCAAAATTACTGAGCAAATTAAGGTTTGAAACGTGCCCCGAACAAGTTTACCTTTTCTGTGCCGCACAAGTTCTTTTCCACTTGTATTTGTAGAAGCCGAGTCGGAATTCAGTTAAATATAGAAAGGATTCTGGAAACATATCCAGAGCAATAGAGTTTTGAATAGAAAAAATGATTGCAGGAAGAAAACAATGCAAAATGCCTAAGGATTTATGTATGAAGGTTCTAGTATCCGCAGAAGAAAAAAGGTAAAAAAAAAAAAAAAAAAAAAAAAAGAACAAGAAATAAGTCGCTCCATGTGTTTCAGGTGCTAAGAATCTACACCAAGCAGGTGTGCGCTCGTTTGGACACTATCGTCATAGTAGAAAAGAAAAAAGAATCTACCCCAAGCATATGGTAGGAAAGGCAATGCATGCACGGGCGCCCTAACCTGTAGCCGCTTTGTCTTTCTGTTTGCACCCGTATCCACTTTTTAAAAAACTTTAGCTTCCCTTTCTCCTCTTCTTTTTCTTCTTCTTCTTCTTCAATACCACAGTTCTTGCTCTTCACTGTAGTTAGTGTTTGAGATAAGCCTTTACAAATAGAATATGAGATTGGAACTTGCTAGTTTCATGCTTTGCGGTACTGAAGAAGATAGATTTTCTGGATTTAGCTTTGCACGATATGTAATCATCAGATTTTCATTGACCATTCTAACAAATTTTAACGGGAAATAATATGTAGCTACTTAAACATGATATTTCAAGACTATCCGCCAAAAATTGCTAGATATTTCCATGTAATTCCTTTGATGAATGTACAAGAAACAGTACAAGAAACAAAGACAAAAACTTCAGCTCTAGAGCTGAAGTTTCCTAGTTACAACATAGAAATTTCAGCTCTAGAGCTGAAATTTTAATTTTATAACTGGCAAACCTCAGCTGTAGAGCTGAAGTTTTCCGGTTATAAAGACAAAAACTTCAGCTCTCCGGTACAAAAGAAAAACTTCAGCTCTAGAGCTTAAGTTTTTATTTTATAACTGGAAAACTTAAGCTCTAGAGCTTAAGTTTTTATTTTATAACTGGAAAACTTAAGCTGGAAAACTGCTTAAGTTTTTATTTTATAACTGGAAAACTTAAGCTGGAAAACTGCTTAAGTTTTTATTTTATAACTGGAAAACTTAAGCTCTAGAGCTTAAGTTTTTATTTTATAACTGGAAAACTTAAGCTCTAGAGCTTAAGTTTTTATTTTATAAGCTTAAGTTTTCCGGTTACAAAGACAAAAAACTTCAGCTGAAGTTTTCCAGTACAAAAGAAAAACTTCAGCCCCGTGGGCTGAAGTTATGTGAAAAAGCGGGTACGCTTGCAATTTTTTTTGCAAAGCGGGCACAAGTTAAAATGTGGCACAAAAAACGGGTATAGATGCAAATGCCCCTTAATACCAGAATTTAGAGCCCGGTTGATCAAACTACCAAAAAACGCTTATGTTAAAAAATACTTTTTTTCATAAGTGTTTTTTCCAAAAGTACTTGTGCAAAAAAATAATTTGTGTTTGGGCAATTCATTTAAGAAGTACTTTTTGCAATATTTAGTAAACGAATTGTATTTGGACAATCTTTCTAAAAGTGCTTTTGAGTGTCAAGTAACCAAAAAGAATAGTGCCAAGGTCTTATAATTACTTTAAAGAGAAAAATGAACTTAAATATTTATCGTAAGAGACTTTTATTATTATTTTTTATTTAATTAAAATATAAAGTAAACATACATATTAAATATTTAAATCAATATAACATATATAGTTATACCAAATCATATAGTATTATCTAGTATAATTACTTATTGTCATCATCCAGCATGAAAAAAGTATATTCCACAAATTACTATATATTGATAATCCACCATAAAATAATAAGCAAAGTCACTCACATATGATAATATTTCTCAACAATTTCATCTCTAGTTCTATCACACAACGCCTCCATATTAGTAGAAAACTTGCCTTGCATTTCTAAAAGAATACCAGAAGGCCAATCTCCTTTCTCAATCTCTGCAGTAATGTCTTCATTAGCATAATAGTTGAATTCCTTATCGGTAGAAGAATGTGTCGAATGAAATTATGTATAGTCATGGTAGTTGTAACAACATAATTTCGAGTGTCAAACTTGAAAGATGGCATTGAGCGTAAAATAGAAATAATTTTAAATATATAAAAATTTTATTGTTTTCGTAAAAGAAAATAGTTAAGTATGTTTAAATTCAAATTCAAAAAGAGTAACTAATTATTAACAACACATAATGTATAATCTAATTTTTTTAAAAATTTAAATTAAAAAAGAAACTAATTATTACGTAACCTAACTAACTCTGTCCTAAATTACCAAGTGAACTATTGTGAGACTGTCACTTGGCTTAATGTGGAAGCTTTTTCTTCTTCTTTTAATAATATATAGATTATGTGATGCAATTGTAAATTTATTACCTATTTGTAGGTAATTTTCACAAATTAAATTTGATAATTATTTTAAAGATTCAGCAATAAAAAGCCTATAACAGAAGAAATTATAAATGATTAATTGCAGGAAGAGAATTGATAATCTAAAAAAGAATGTAGATAATTTACTTTAGGGTGATAAAAGAAGAAGATAATTTGGAAAGTTACAAGACATTACACAAAGAAAAAATCAAAAACAAAAAAATACACCTGAGCACAAACGTCACCACCAAGTAATATGTTTTTCACTTTATTGGGCACAAACAACATATAGTATATAATTGGGGATGGAATATTCAAAATATGTATTTTTGGCTTTAAAATTCCACGGGTGTATTGTTTGTAAGAGAATGCCATATATATGCAAATCGCATGTCTGAAATACCATTTAAGGACGTCGTAGAACGCACAGACAGGTTGTGAAACGGTGTTTTGACATAAATCACATTCTAAAAATGCGTTTTGTAAAACTTATTGGAAATCTTTTTTAATTCGCAATTGAAGGATGTACTTTATAGAACTCAAATGAAAATTACGTTTTCTCGAAATAGATCCTGACAACAAAGGAGATATTTCAGTGCTTTTTTATTTTTGATCAAATATAATATTATGGGTCAAAGTTTGATTCCATTTGGTATTATTAGGTCAAAGTCAGCAAGTATTGCATTTGTACTTAGCAACTCTAATTGTATTCCAGTAAAACATTTTAAACACAATGTCCAGTGTTGCGCAAAATGCTTTTTTTGTTACTACTTATACTTTACGTATATAGAAGAGGCTTGAAGCAGGAGGCGGTTGTCTTCTCAGCTTGCCAACCAAAGGACATTTTTGGTAATTCAACTAGTCTGTGCTTTAACACTATTGTACTTTATTGCTTTATGACCGTACATTTTCTCTGTTGGGCAATAAAACAAGACCAATTTATCCCTTGGACTGACGTGGAAATTAATAACTTTTCTTCGTGTGGGGGCATATTTGAAATTTTCTGATTGTCACGCGGTTTAGAGGGGTTTCACGAGAATTCCTGAGGTAAGCCACTTTTAATCATTTTTATTCAATAATATTGATTACCCACTGAATTTTTCACCTAGTTTATGTGTTTTTAAGGTAAAATTTTAGGAGTTTTGGGCTAGGGATTGGAGAATAAGATTTGAAGATTTGAGTGACAATTTGGTGTCGGAATTTGGTAAATTTGGTATGGTTGGACTCGTGGTTAAATGGGTGTTCGACTTTTGAAACTTTTATCGGATTACGAGACGTGGGCCTGGGGTTGACTTTTTGACTTTTGATTAAGAACTTAGCATTTCATATGGAATTGATTCTTATAGCTTAAGTTGATTGTATCGAGTTGTTTGTGGCTAGATTCAAGGTGTTCGGAGGCCGATTTGTGAGATAAGAGCTTATTGGAGCAGAGATTTGCACGGTTTGAGGTAAGTAACACTTCTAAACTTGGTTCTGAGGGTATGAATCCCTTTATGTGTTATGTGATCGGTTTTGAGGTGACACACATGATATGTGAAGGACGTGTAGGTGTACACCGTAGTAATTATGACTCGGTCGATTATGTGGAACAGTGTAATGGGAGTGTAGGTGTACACCGTAGAAATTATGACTCGGTCGATTATGTGGAATTGTGTAGTCATCTTATCTGAATATTATTATTGTACTCTATGTTAGAGAATTTGAGCTATAATTTGTGTTAGAAATCATGTTTAAGATAGATGCCGGTACTATTGGGACCCACAACGATCGTTCCTTGTTGTTGAGTTATTTGCTTAAGTTGCACTTATGTACTGAGCCGCATTCATCATTGCATATCATATCTTAGTCTCTGTTATCATACATTGTCACATCATGTATCATTGATTTGGGCTGCTTGGCATGAGTGTTATGAGCCCGTGAGACTGGAGAGATTGATGACTGAGTGAGGCAGAGAGCCTGTTTGTGTGTGATATTGATGGGATCAGGTTGCACGCCACAACGGGTACTATTGACTCATGATGGGATCAGGTTGCACGCCACAACAGGTCTTATTTACTCATGATGGGATCGGGCTGCACGCCGCAACATGTATTACTGATTCATGATGGGATCAGGTTGCGCACTGCAACATGTTTTATTAGCGCTTGGGTATGATCCACCCCTCTAGAGTCTGACATACCTGCAGTGAGCGCAGGTACCGTACATTGCTGAGTGACTGAGTGTAATGAGCGAGAATTGAGACTATCAAATTGAGTACTCTAAAAGTGTGATTACGTGAGGTTTTCATTGTGTTGCATATATATATAGGCATATAGATATAGAGATGTCATATTCCTCATATTAGTCATACTTGGCATATTTTATTTGTATTGAGATAAATTGTTAAACCTAGAAGCACGTCTACATTTCTTGTACTGTGTGCGAACAGATAACGAGTTTTCTCTAAGATATTATTGTCCTATTTACTGTTATTTCTGT